AGAGCAAGGGCAGAGCAAGGGCAGAGCTTCCGCCACGCTGAAGGCGCATTCCTCGGAGCAAGTCAACGCCGCATGTCCCGGTGCCCCAAGCGGCAGAGGGACAGCCAAGCTGTTCTGTATGGGCAGGAATGAAGCAGGAAGCAGAGGAGCGCCCTCATGCGGAAAGAATAGAGGAAAGCACGCCGCGCAACGAGGATGCCCTTGAACTGCGGAGTATGCAAAATGCGAGTTAACTACACGCCCCGTATGCGCCACCCATCCTCCACGACACCCGCCCGCCCATGACGCCCGCCCGCCCGTTGGCTACCGCTTGACAAACGGCAGACCCATTCCCGACAAGAGCGCCCGCGCCTGGTCCTGCGCGCCTCGCCCGCGCGCGGTCGTCCTGCAGAAGATGTTCATGCCGAAGAGGCGCGGGTACTGGTCGAGGTTCACTTCGATCTGGGGGAAGAGGCCCATGGCGTCCGGGGTGAGTCCGAACGCGACGACGCCCGAGTTGAGCGAGATGTTTTGCCGCGGGGTCGAGGCGGCGGGGAGAGGGATGCCGGCAAACGTCTTGAGGCGCGGGAGGACAAAGTCGGTGAGGGTCTCGAGGAACTGGTACATCTCGTCGCCGCGGAGCTCGACCTTGACGCCCGAGGGCATGCCTGCGCGGACCTTGAACGAGGCCGACTTTTTGGTGGTGCGCGTGACGACGATGCCCTTGCCCGAGCCGGGGCCGTAGGGGCCGGGGTGGGCCGACTGGAGGGGTTCGCCGGTGATGGCCTGGAAGGCCATGATGAGGGGGAGGAGGGTGCTCTTGGCCTGGAGGGCGTGCTTGGTCATGCACTCGACGACGATCGACTCGAGGCGCGGGACCGAGTCGGGCGAGGTGTAGGACGGGTTCGGGGCGAGGGCGCGGCCGCCTCGGGTCGGGGGGAGCTTGTCGCGCCCGCGGGTGTACGGGTTCTCGGGGTCCCACACGAGCTGTCGTTCGAGCGGGTTCGGGCGGTGTTCGGTGTGGCGCTTGTGCGAGTAGAGGAGGTACATGAGGTCGTGCGAGAGCGAGTGGGTGTAGTGGTCCTCGAGGCGGGACCGGGCGACGCGGCCGTACTGGATGCGCTCTGGGAGCCGTTCCCGCAGTGCGTGCACCCGCTCTGCCGCGTCTGCATCCTCCCCTGCTGCCGCCCGTGCTGCTGTTGACGCGGGCCGGGTCGACGAGGGCGGTGCGAACGAGGCGAGCGGTGCGGGTGGTCGTTGGCGGGTGCGTGCGCCGGCTGTTGCCGTGCGAGCGAGTGCGCCAGCTGTCCGGTTCATCTGTGCAGTCGAGCGCGAGAGTGAGAGCGCGAGAGTGCCGCGCTGATGCGCTGATGAGCTTGCCCTCGTCCTCGTCGCCGTCGTCGTCTCGTCGCTCGCCAGCGTTCGCGTGCTCGCCGTCTTCCTCTCCGCGTGACCCTCCTCAACCCCGCCACTCGCCATGTCGCCCCCTCCCGCCGGCGGAAAGGACTCGCACGCCGCCCGCATCCTCGGATCTGGCACTTCGGGTCAGTCGCCCGTTCGCTCGCCGTCCTCGCGCTTATCGGGGCTCGCTGACGCTTATCGCACAATGCAGGCATCGCCGAGCTCATCATCTTCCACCCCGTGTGCGCACCCGTCCTCGCTCTCAGCCCTCGTCCTCGCTGACTCTTCCGTCCGGTCACAGCGACACCGTCGCCAAGCGCCTCATGTCCAACAAGGTCTCGGGCGTGAGTGCGAGAGGACGACTGTCACTGCAGTGACTCCCTCGCTGACGCTCGTTCGGGCGCAGATGCCGATGATGCAGGTTGTCTTCAGGGAGCACGCGACCGCACCCGCAGGCCGCAAGCTCCTGTCCCTCTTCCCCGGTCTCGGTTACGCCGCTGGCTACAAGGGTGAGTGCCGAGCCGCTCGGCCGACGACAAGCCAAGACGAGCTGACCCCGTTGCGCCCGCAGTCTTGCAGTCCGTCGCCTATCCTTTACCCTCTACCCTCTCGTCCGCTGACCTAGTCCCTTCTTGCTTGTCCCACCGTGCAGGCGAGTGTACAAGGTGAGCCAATCGAGGAGGAATTGCGGGAAGGAGTCGTCGAAGCTGACCCAGGTCGATTCCCGCAGTTCGGAGGCCAGCCGTACTTCAACGACTTCCTCTCCAAGAACTTCAAGACGCAGTTCAGCAACACCTTTGGAGAGAAGAACGGCAAGGCCATGATGTCGGCCACCGCTGGATCGTGCGTTCCGCCAAACTCGCTCGACTTGCTTCCGAGCTGACCACCTCCTCGTCCTCGCGCAGGCTCACCGGCATCGGCGAGATCGTCCTCCTTCCCCTCGACGTCCTCAAGATCAAACGGCAGTGCGTGCAGCCCGGTTACTTCCGTCCGCTCCCGCTCACTCCTCCTCTTGTATCGCACGCAGAACCAACCCCGAGGCGTTCCGCTCGCGCGGCTTCGTCCAGATCGTCCGCGACGAGGGTTTTGGCTTGTACCGCGGCGCCTCGTGGACCGCAGCTCGCAACGCGCCCGGCTCGTTCGCTGTCAGTCCCCGCCGACGCGCGCTCTCGCTCGTCTCGCCCAAGCTGACCCGCTCGTTCGCTCCCACAGCTCTTCGGTGGCTCGGCGTTCACGAAGGAGTACGTCTTCGGCCTCCAGGACTACCGCTCGGCAACCTGGTACCAGAACTTTGTCGCCTCGATCGCCGGCTCGGTGCGTCCCGTCCTTCCCTGCTCACGGACGTCTTTGGGGTGGTGAAGGAAGACGTTGGAGGCCCACGAGCTGACCCGCCATCGCTGCCGCAGGTCTCGTCGATCGCCATCTCGCAGCCCCTCGATGTCATCAAGGTGCGTCCGCTGGCGCCACTCGCGCCTGCAGTCAACGCTGACGAACTCGCACGCCACGCAGACCCGCATCCAGAACCAGAACTTCGAGTCCAAGGTCGGCGGCATGACGGTCGTCCGCGACTTGATCAAGCACGAGGGCTTCTCGGCGTTCTTCAAGGGTCTCACGCCCAAGGTCCTGTGCGTTCGCTCGGCTCGCACTGACGACAGTCTTGGAGAGCTGACACGATCGGTCTCGCAGCGTCGTCGGTCCGAAGCTCATCTTCTCGTTCACCCTCGCGCAATCCCTCATCCCCTGGTTCTCCAAGTGCGTCCCGTGCCCTCGCACAGCTTCGCAAATCTTGCTTATCGGGTTTGCCGCACCGCAGCTTCGTCTGAACGCGCTAGACACCCCAGACCTCCCTCCTGACCCCCTAGATTTCCATCTCCCTCTCGGCTCACTTACCACTCGCTTTCTTCCCGGGCGCTCACTGAAGTAGACTTTCCCTACACCCTTGTCCTTTCACTCGTACACTCTCTTTACTCTTTATGTCCTTCTCTCTCTCTCTCTCTCTCTGTACGGTCTCCGGCGGGGGTCTCCTCGCTCGGACAGTTTCTGTCCCCCATCCAACCAAAAGCGCAGCAATCGCACCGCTCATTACCAGGAACTCTTCAGCAGACCAGGCGCATGCGAGTGACTCGTGGGCGAGTGGTCGGCGCTGGATCTTTGCTCCATCGCTCCATGTCTCCTGCGAGCCGCGAGCACGAGATCGAGCCTGCAGCCTAAGGCACCCCTCGCCAACTCACTCTGTCGCTGTCGAGTGACAGTCGTGCGCGAATTGTATGCGTCGGTGATACAGTTGCAACACACAGGGCGGAAAGGCCGTACGGAAGTGAAGGGAGACGGAACAGCGGTGCGGAAGACGAGGTAACATGCGAGCGGCGTGACGGAGCTGCGAGGAGCTGTCTAGGCGAAGTAGAACTGCGGGAGAGACAGATGTTTTAGCTCGAGCATACGAGCGGGAGAAGGTGAGGAGCGGGGAACGGACGTGATCGTTCTTCTTCTTCGACTGGACCTCGCTGCGGGGAAACAGACGAGGAGTCGGTCAGCAAGGCGTCGTCGTCGGCGTTGGCAACAAGGCGGCACGCACAGGATGCCCGACAAGTAGTGCTCGTGGTTGATCTCGGTGAAGCCTTCTCGCAGCGCAATCATGCCCGCCTCGACACACACCGCCTGGAGCGCGAACGGATCAGTCTGACGAACGAGCGGTCGACGGAAGGGGAAGGACGCACCTTGAGCTGCGCACCGTTGAACTCGTCCGTACTCCGCGAGAGCTCCTCGAAATTGACCTTCGGGCTGACCTTCATCTTCCGCGAGTGGATCCTGGCAGTGCAGTCAAGTCAGCATACCGGGTTGCGACGAGCGGGAAGGCGACGGGAACGCACTCCATGATCTTGGCTCGCGCCTCCTCGTTCGGCAAAGGGAACTCGATCTTGCGGTCGAGACGGCCGGAACGCAGCAGCGCCGGGTCGAGCACATCGATTCGGTTCGTCGCCGCGATGACCTGCGAAAGCGAGTCAGCGTGACGAAAGCTGACGGATAGGAACGCGACGCACCTTGATCCGGTCGTCGCTCGAGAACCCGTCGAGCTGATTCAGCAGCTCGAGCATAGTCCGCTGCACCTCCCTGTCACCCGACTTGTCGCTGTCGAAACGCTTCGTGCCGATCGCGTCAAGCTCGTCGATGAAGATGATGGCCGCCTTGTGCTGCTTCGCAAGCTCAAAGGCGTCGCGGACGAGCTTGGCGCCGTCACCGATGTACATCTGGCGTGAGAGAACGCGGAGGTCAGCGTGAGGCGAGTATGAGCCCGAGGCGGATTGAGACGAACCTGGACGAGTGAGGGCGCGGCGAGCTTGAGGTAGCACGCGTCCGTCTGCGCAGCACAAGCACGGGCGAGAAGCGTCTTTCCGGTACCTGCGAGAAGGAAGGAGCGTGTCAGAGACGAAGGAAGCAAGGCAAGGATTAGAGGGATCGCGCGCACCTGGAGGGCCGTACATCAAGCAACCCTTGGGGGCCTTGATTCCGAGGGTCTTGAAGCGCTCGGCCTGCTGCATGGGCAAGACAATAGCCTCGACGAGCTCCTCAATCTGCTTGTCGAGTCCACCGATGTCGTTGTACGACTCGGTCGGCTTCTCGTCGACCTCCATCGCCTTGACGCGCGAGTCAAACTCGGCAGGCAAGGTGTCGAGCACGAGGTACGAGTCCTTGTTGACGCCGATCAGGTCTTTCGGGCGGAGGGTGGCGGGGTCGACGAGGCCGACGAGGGGGAGGAAGATGGTTTGCCGCGTCGAGGTCTTGATAACGGCGCACTTGCCCTTGCGCTGCGCGTCGAGGTCGACGTTGGCGCCCTCGGCGTCTTCGTCGACATCCGGGTCGATGTCGAGGATCTGTGGGGGAGGAGCGGGGCAAGTGTCAGCGGTTAGAACGGGCGAGAAAGGGGACGCTGCTGATTGTCGCGGACTTGCCACCGCCTCTCTCCTCCAAGGCGGGGTTCATCCGTGCGCTGACCACCTCCGCCAGCCAGGCTTCATCGAGCCCATCTCCCGCCAGCTCGAACGTCGCGAAACCGCTTCTCCCCACATCTTGCCCTCGTCAGGTCTGCGTCGCTAGCCCGATCTCACGGATGCCAGCCTGATCCTCCGCAATCGATACACCTCCTCGGCCGGCGGCAGTCGTCCTCAGAGTCTCGGCGGTGCAAAACGTCCTCCGCGGCCAAGATCCGCGAAAGCCCCAAGTCCTTCAGCAATTTCGACCTCCGCCCGTAATCGGCGCCTCCTAGCACGCCCGCCAGATGACCCCGCAGCATGCGTCGCATCCCTCCATCTCGCCCTCCAAGTTTCCTCGCAAGAAACCCCCGTCCTTCGCAAACAAGTTGGAGTGCGGGCGGGCAAGCGGGCGCGACTCACCTCTACGACGTTGCCCACGAGGTAGGGGAGCATCTTGTTGTTCTTGATCTTGTCCGTGTTGTCCTTGATCTGCTCCTTCATCTTGTTGCGCTCGTGGTTGAGGCGCATCGTCTCGCTCCGCATGACCTGCCGGAGTCCGAGCGCTTCCCGTCAGCTCCGAGTCTAAGATCACAGGCATGCATACAACGCTTCGAGGAGCCCAGCGAGGCTGTGGATGAGAAGCGAGCGAGATGACATCGCGTCGAGGGAGGTGGAGCGCACCTTGAGGTCGTTGTCGATGAGGCGGGTCCTGGCCATGATGTCGTCTGCGCTGGCGTTGAGGATCTCGTCTGGCAGCGGCTCCTCCTCGGGCTCGTTTGGCTGTGAAGAGTGAGCGGGTTGCGAGTCGCTCATGGTGGCATCGTCGTTTGCGCGCGCGGGCTGGGCGGGCTGGTCCTTGTCGGGTTGCTGGCTGCTGCCGTCGTCGTGCGGAGGCTGTGCGTCCATGTCCAGCTAGAGCAAGAGAGTGAGCGAGAGCGTGAGAGAGTCGTCAGCCCTTGCGTGGTTGTAATGAGTCTGAATACAAATCGAGTTGTATTCGAGTTTGTATTCTCCAGCGACCGCTCTCTCCCTTGTCCCTTCGTCGCCTCGCACAGTCTCGCGAACCCAGTGAGTGTGCGCAGTTGACGAGTGACACTGCAGACTGTGACTGACCAGCGCGGCGCTCTCTCCCGTCGCAGCTCCGTCCCTCCTCGCTTCATCAGTGCGCACCCCGTTCCATCTCGACCCCCGACGACCTCGCCTGGGACACGAGCAGACGAGCTGACCATCCCACGACGACAGTGTTTGGCATGCGCGCGTGGCCCACCCCCTTCCTCCGCCCCATGTGCGTGCCAACTCTCCACCTCTCCCCCCTCCGCCGAGCTGACCGGGCCATCTCGCCTCCTTCCTCCATCCGCGCCTGGTCTGCTGTGTCTGATCGCTTCACACGCTCTCTCACACATCGTCTACGCCATCACGTCCACGCCCCGACTCGACGCCTTTCGCGACACCACACAGGTGGCCCTTCATGGTCGGCGCCGGCATGACCTTCTACCTCGTCAACGCCGCACAGAACGCCATGCTCCAGAGTGAGTACTTACCTCTTCTGTAAAAGATGTGCTGGGTCAGGAGCGGGCACAGCTGACGGAACTCTCGCTTTCCTCTTGCCCCTCTCGCTCCCCTCGCGCCTTCGACCCCATCTTGAACTTTCCCCTTCCTCCCGCCTCGCCGCATACCAGGCGACGAGTTCAAGAACTCGCCCAAGAACCCTCACCGCATCTCGTCCACCCCCGCCGCGCACTAAGCACGCCCGTTCGCCTCGTTTGGTTCGGTTGACGGTTGACGGAGAAGCAGTAGACACGGTGGAATGAGGAGCGACGCGACGTGCAAAATGGTATTCCGTGGATGCGCTCGTCGAAACGGACGAAACGTGATGGCCGGCAGACTCGGCCAGGGAGGAGAGAGCGGCTCGGGACGCTCGCCATGCTGGGCTTCGTGTTTGTGGACGGGGCTCGCCTCTCGCTCGACCGGCTGGCCGTGCGGACAACTACGAACGGCTCCATCGACGAAGAACGCAGCACTCGCCAAGCTTACGCTCCTTGCTACCCTCGGAACGCCAGCCACGCCCTCATCTCGCTCGCAGTGAGAAGTTTCGTCGAGTCTCGCTTGGGGACGCCATCTCCCAATCACGCGGAGAGTCTCGCTCGCGGCTTCGAGCGACGGTCCCACGTCTCGC